GGGAGAGGGGATGCTCGGGGGAAGGAAGGAGCTGTGCTGAGGCTGTGCCACGGCAGGGAGCCCCGGCGGGGACGGGCCAGGCTCAGCTGTGCCCACAGAGAGCGTCCAAAAGCGTCCCACCGTGGCTGTGGGAAGAGCTGCAGAGGCCACGACCAGCCTGGCACACAGTGGCAAGGAGCCCAAAGAGCACAGCAGCCCTGCCCTGCTCCCAGTGCCAGCCCTGGAGAGTGGCACAGCGCAGGGTGAGGATGTCCAGGACAGGAGCGGAATAAGAGTAAATGACAGGAACACCCAGTACGCCCCAGGAGCACCCACTGAGCAGAATAGCCAGTACACCAGAGGGACACTCAGTGCAGAGGCAGAATAGCCAGTACACCCATGAATCAGTAGCATGCAGCCTGGGCTCCATCTGCTCCCCACCAAGCAAACAGAGCCCAGGGGTGCCCCTGCTCCCCACAGGGCAAGCACAGAGCTCAGCCATGCCTGCCACACCCTCTGATCATTTCTGGCCCTTTTAGCTGCAACATCCCTGAGCTGGAGCGCTGGTGTTTGCACAGAGAGCGGCCCTGGTGCAGCCCTGGGCACTGACAATATAAAATAGACATTGTTAAAAGCCACTTAAGCCTTTCCATGGGAGGGTTGTGGACCTCTGGAGCAGAGCCCAGGGGACAGCCCTTTATTGCCGTCGTGACCAGGTCAGTTTCTCCAGAACCCAGCAAATTATTTATGGGCTGGTTGGGCTGTTAAAACATTAACACATCCATCACCTTGCTGCTGGTCCTGCTCCCGCCTTCACAGCTTGTGTTGGGCTCGGAAATTTCCTGGCAGTTGATTTGCTCCAAAGCTGCATTTGGAAGCAATCCCCACGCCCAGCTCTCGCTGTGTCAGAGTTACAGCAGGACCTGCCAGCTGCTCCAAATCCCTGAGATAATTTTCCCTTCAGGTTCTGTTTCTCCTGCTGTTGCTTTGTTGCGTGGTCCAAACAAAGGCACGATTTGGGTCTTTAGTTTGCAGAAATACCTTAGAGCAGTAAAAATCAAATTTAGCCATCACCGTTGGAATCTGACCTGCCCTTGAAGCAGGGCTGGCGGTGGGAGTGGGGATGAGGCCGCGCAGCCTCTCCCTGAAAGGGACAAAGCATCGGATCTGGGGGACAAACGGGCTGTGAGGGCTGCGGGCACCGCGGTGACAATCCGTGGTGACAATTGGGGCAGGGAGAGGCAGACAGCGCTTCCCGGGAGGTGGGGACACTCATTCCTGTCTGCAAAACACAGGCAAGATGGAGAGCATACAAGGAATGGGAATTAGTGTCTTAATCTACTGCTTTCACTCTTGTCCCTGTTTCCAATGCCTTTGGCTACTCATTTCCCTGCATCTGATATTTTATTATCACGTCTTTTATGACATTTGCAGATACTTATTAAATCAAAAAGGGAGATTGTGTGCTGAGGATCCCAGAGACTCTTTGGAGTGGCCTGGAGAGGGTGTCTGGGCTCAGCTGTGCCCTGGCTGAGGGGGGAGCCCCAGCCCTGCCCGTTTGGGTGAGAGAAGCAGAAGGAACAAAACCACAGTCCGAGGAGGGATGAGCAGACAGAAAACCACAGTCCAAAGAGAGCTGGCCAGACAGAAAACCACAGTCCAAGGAGAGCTGGGCAGACAGAAAAGCACAGTCAAGGAGAGCTGGGCAGACAGAAAAGCACAGTCCAAGGAGGGATGAGTAGACAGAAAACCACAGTCCAAAGAGAGCTGGTGGAAGGTCCCTGGTGCTGGAGGGAGGTCCTGGTGGAGGGTCCCTGGGGGTGGCTGCTGGAGGGTGCTGCCCCCTCTCTTTGCATCAGGAATCTCCCCAGCTCTGCGGGTCCCAGTCCCTTAGGAGAGATCAGCACATGAACTGCGCTGGAAGCAGCAAGAGGGGCTGCAGGAGAAGCACCAGAGGGCAGCCCTGGAGCTCGTGATCCGCAGGGAGCAGCGGGAGCAGAGCACAGGGCGGCAGGGCTGGGCCCAGCGCTGGCAGGGAGTGAGGAGAGGAGAGGAGAGGAGAGGAGACGAGAGGGGAGGAAATCTCCCCACCTGGGGTGGCTCTGGCTTTGTGGCTTGAGGAGCTGCTGCAGTGGATGGAGGGGTCCCTCAGCATGGCTGGTGCCTGCCAGGGGCTGTGCCC